GACTAGGCTCTTCTGATTATGCTTCTCCCCTTACAAGTGTGAAAACTTTATTGTTTCTGGTTACTGGATCCAAGTGTTAGCCTCGTTACTGAAAAATACGAGTTTTAGATTATTAACATTAGTGCTCAAAGGACATAAGGCTGCAATTTAAAGACGTGCTGGGAGAAAGGCTCCTCGCACACACACAGCAAATAGCTCTGTTAATTACTTAGAGACTGCCTATCTCCTTAGGACTTTCTGGCTAAATTATACACAGCATGGGATATGGGATGGCCCTGTCGATAAGGAATCAAGATGCAAGTGATCCCAGTTTGGCCCCAGTTACATTAGAAACATCCCACAAATTACTGGGCCAATTACTTGACTTGCATCATCAGTAAGAAAAAGCACTTCTGCATTGCTTACAGATGATGAAGGAAATCCCCAGGGAGTGGGAGGCAATAGGTACACGATACCACGTGCATCTTTTAGACAAACCCTGCCCCAGTTACTCACTTGAAGTTTTCTCTGAAGCAATGATTTTCCACTCGTGTTTAGGACTCTGAACAGTAGCATTTGGAGAAAGACTTCCAGAGGAGCTGCTACTAATCTGCTTGTGATCATTCTCACGTGGTGGCTTCTTCTGCAAAATCAAAAGGCAGCTACAGAAACCTAGCCAGAGACTATACCTCCTTCTACCTCTGCTTCTCTGAGCTAATACATAGCTATTCAAGAGAACACAGTCTACCACCTCTGCAGAGCATCATACACAGCACACCTACATTTTCAACAGAACATCCTGCCTACTCAGCAACAGTAGCCAAAAACCACCCTGCATCTTCTCTTGGTACTCATTTCACCCTGTGACTGCAGCTTTATACTGCTGGTGTCTGACTAGAAATCATTTCAAATTCCTCAAAAAGAGCATGCCTTACTAGCAGGATTTTCAAATGTAAGGAAAAACCTACCTCCACAGGGAGAGAATCTACAAACTAGAAGCCTCACTCGCAAGCTCTGCTTCTGGAACTTGAGTTAATTATATAATACTATTTGGAAGTGAATTATCTGTTCTCTTCATTCCCTGAAGACAAATTAATTTTGCCTCAGTTCCTCTCTGTGCTCCCATTAGCTGTTTCTTGGATTTTATTCCCTTGATATTTCCCACTAACAGGAGATTTCTGCTTTCTTTTCTTCAATTAGATTTATACTGTAGCTTACATTATTTTGCTTGATTAATAAAACCCCCCAAATTTCACATTTCAGATTACATTGCACAGTTGGCTGGGGAGCTGAGGCTTTTTCTGAATCATAAGAACCATATAAAATAATATTCTGTCTATTCTGTTGAGCAGCAAAGTTTATGACCACAGTACCAAGTTTGTGATGCTTGCACAATTCCCTGGAGTCTAATCTCTATGGAAACTGTCAAGATTTCTGAAATACATCATCTAACTCATAGCTAACCTTACACAGAGGAGTTTGATTGCTATACTCAGAAATCACTTCATTTCTAGAGAGCATTTTTGTTATTTCTGAATCTTCATCCAATTAAGAGCTTATTCTCTTATCCTTAAATTGCCTCGACAGTTACAGAAATTACAAACTTTTGTAATCCAAAAATTTAAAATTTACAGTTTTCCCAAGACTGTCATCTATGGGTTTTCTGGTGTTTCTTCTCTCAACTCTTTAGAATGTCTAAAGTTGGCAATTCCTATTATCAGAAAGGATTTAAATAAAGAAAAAGTTGAGAACTCATCCTGATTTCTGAAAATGAACTTTTTGAATGTTCACCTCTCAGCTTCTAAGTATTACAAAGAGTAGTATCCAAAGGTGGTGAAGTCTGTGAAGGCTTACTAAAAACAATTAAGAAAACTGGAAAATTAGCTGGCTTTTCATTTTTTCCTCTCTTTTCACTTCTAAAATCCACGTTCCAGAATGTTAAGTGTTTTACATAAACATTAGCTAAAAATTTCAAGAAGTATACTTTTGTATCAGCACATTCCACTGTTAAAGTTAAAATATTACAATATATTTGCTTCTAACTCAGCGAATTTCAATCTTAATTTGTATAAAGCAATCGATAATTTACATCTATTAGCCCTTTTTTATTCTTTGTTTCTTAAAAAGCCACTGTGCTAAGCCATCCGTTTTTCAGGAGTTGAGAATGATTGTATCTGGCTAGAACTAAAAAAAAAAATAAAAAATCTCAAGAAGCACAAGACTGATCTGTACACAGTCAAAGCATCAGCTCTCTCTAGATCAGGAGTTATCTACTGCTGCTTTTTAAAATCTCTCTTGCACATTACCAGTGCAGCTGAACAAAAGAAAAGGACACTGAGAGCTGAAGGATTAGAACTTATGTCTGGAATCTCTTTCTGTGCCAAAATTTAACAGATGTATTCTCCACTGCAAGCCAAGCAGTCCGTGATTCTTTGCAGTCTCTTGAGTATCTCTACAAAGCTACAGCTGACTTGCTACAGCTGACTGCTTTTCTACCTCTTCTTTCTTCTACAGCCCAAGATTTAAGTCAAACCTAAAGCACTCTGTTTTGCAAAGGCTTAGAGTCAGTGTGGCCAAAACCAAGAAGCAGAGGCTAAATCATCACCTCCAGCAGCTTTGAGAAAGATACTGTCTCGTCACCTCTTTCTCCATTAAAGCTTTCTCTGCTAACAGTACACAAGACTTCAGGCGTGCTGTAGACTGCTCCAGTCTATCTGGGGTTACCTGAGACTGTCTGCAATTTGTACCTGCACAAACTGAATGTGGTCATCATCACTGCCATACACCTCAGCCTGTCCATCTAGCAGATTTCCATCAAGCAGCTTGTGATCAGCTGAGTAGTACAGCGTTTGAACCTGCAAAAACAACAACAGAATACCCATGTGGCTACTGTCTCCATTGCTACTTAGCTACAGGCAGATTACAAAAGGCAGTCGCCAGCATACTTCTCGTCATCTCATCTCAATCTAGCAGAATGACAAAACTAAAAGGAAGCAGATGTCATGGTGGCAATCTTCAAACACGGGATGAAGGTTCCTTACTTTCTCAGCTTGAAAGAAATCTTCGTTTTCCAAGGACTTCTACTGTTTTTCCAGCACAGAAACATTAGACAGGCAAGAGGCATATTAATTTGCAGAATTACACAAATTCACAATCTCATGCAAGCATTTTCGTTATCCCCGCAAACAAGTTTTCTGCTTTGAAAAATACACATATTTATCTTGACCAAAAGAAGTTAAGAGAAGCCAACAGTGGACTCCAAAAGAAAGGTATGGGAATAAGGGAAGACAACACAAATTTAAGTTCTGGAGGAAACTGTTGTCCACATCTAAACATCAGATGCAACTGTTTCAATGAAATGCATCTGAATTTCAACATGATCAAAGCTTTTAAAATGAGTTTTTTCCAAGAGGAAATACACACTTGAGAATATATGACAGCATCAACAGGTATTTTTGCCTATACAAGTGTTTCCGAAGATCTATCGTTCTTGTAATAACAAACTTGGAAAATTTTGATGTTTCATGGGTTTTTGTAAAGTCCATTTTCTCCAGCCAATTAAAAATTTAGACTCCCCACTAATTTTTCCATTAAACACTGCCCAGGCTACATCCAGTATTAGTATTCATGAGTAAAGCCATTTAATAACACACAACTTTCAAAATAATGTATCCTGTAAAGGAGTAAGTAAACACCATTAAATCATCATCATCGTTCTCTGCCCACAGCGGATTTTCTTAGGAGAACTGGGGCAGGACTGCTGCTTCTGTACGTGTCAATACACTTGAGGTTTCTTCTTGGTTCTTCAGCCTTGGTATCCTAGTTTTGTTAATAAACCTATGGGGAGATAAACCAACGGGGAGGAACAACCATTAGAAGCTTTTACCTACTTTGCATTTACAAGCAAAACCTGCAAAGGAAAACATCAAGAATCTATGGCAAGTTTCCGTACCACCTCCCCAATTCTACAGCAAGTTACACGCCACTTTGAGGTTACTATACAGCACATACTGAGCAAAAAAAGGAAAGCGGAAGACCAGACTGAACAGTTCATTCAGCTCACCTGAACACCCCCCCAGTTTCTCAGCTTAGGGGTACCTACAGTAAAATTTAAATTCTTTAGGGTCACAGTTAAAAAAGTGAAAAATAAAAAAAATTAAAAGAAAAATGGGATCATCCTTCATATTGACTTCTTTTTTTAAATGTTTAATCCCATTTTCTTAAAGACTAACCTCTTCCATTAGATCTTCCAGGCTGTCTCCATTCTCCCAGATGCTGCGCTGTACCCAGTTGATTACCTTTGTGTACAATTTGCCATTGCTGGGTAGGCCAACATTGTCTTCCAGCATTACTTCAAGCTTGAATTAGAAGAGAAAAGGATGATTTACTCTACAGGTATTAGCCTTGTGTTGGTAGCATACTGTACTTTACGTAGTGAGCATTACTCTCACTTTACCACAGAGCCAGAAGATGCCACCTATGAGGAGCTTTCAGCCTATGCCACTGAAATTAGGAAGCACATTCAGAACTGTACCCAACTGTACAACTGCAGTTATCTTTTACGCTTAGAAAGGATGAGAGTATGTATTCACTACAGTAAGGTTCACAGTAGTATGAATATTATACAGATCTAGAATTTTCACATCATTGGTAAGAATCCAAGTTTTCCTACTCCCAAATAGGAAGTCGTAATAGTTGCTCCTTGGGTTGCTTTTTGAAATCATATACCAGAAGGAAGTCCACAAACTTAAGCTAACCTTTAACCGTGGAAGTTTGAGAAATTCTTCCTGTTCTGAAATTTGTAAAAGATGTTCCTGAATGTAGCTATCGATCTTGTTCAACAAACGTGAGTCTCCCATACAACTTGCAAAGTTTCGGTAAGAGATGCAACTCTGAACATCCATCTTGGACAGCAAATAGTCACCACAAACCTTTTAAGAAAAAAGGCTGCATCTTAGTTTACAAGTAGACAAGATCTTTATATGTTTATATTATCCCTCCCAACATAGAAAACAGCAACAGCTGTTTTCTAACTGCAGAATAGTGACTGACTGTCTGTTGTCATCCCCCCCACGCTAGAGCTGTAAACAAAATGTTGCCTTCCATAGGAATATGCATATATTAAGTCACACACATTTGAAAGCTACTCACATATACATTGACCCCATGCTTTCCTATTGAATGCCTATTCAAAACTGCTTATCTGCAGTCAGGTGATTATAAAGAACCCTAATACCCTTGTCAAAGGTATCCCCAATTGTGGCAAGAGAAGTATTTCTAAAATCAAGTGCTACCAAACTTACATTCAGGAGTGTGTGGATTTTTCTTTTTTCCACATACCACTGCCACAGATTTACAGGTTTAATTGTGCCCCCCCAACACAACCAAGCACACCACTGCTTCCATGCATCTGAAGGTAAGTAAATAGCTCTGATTCAGAAGCTGTTTTGCTTATGTGGGTGCACAAATACAAAAAACTTCAGAGAACCCTTCAGTACAAAGATAACCAAGTGGAAGCAATACGTATTGATGTCACTCAAATCAATACAATGCTAACGATCACCTAAAGAAGCTTATCTGCTGGGCAGTTTTTCCACAGAATCATGATTTTTTGTCTCATTAACACCAAAAAGCATAATGCTATCAGCCTGAGAAAGCAGAATGGACTTCCAGAAGAGCTGAGAACTGTACCTGCTTAACTCTCTCCATCTTCAATTTCTTTGCTGCAGAGTATACATCTTTCACCAGTTCTTTATCAGCTTTTAACCTATTAAAGACAGACATTTATCTTTATTATTTTGATTTTCTTTTTTAATTAAAGTCTACTTTTCTCTAGTTTCCATGAAAGATACTTACTGAGCAGTATAGGCATAATTCAACAGAACTTCAACAGCCTCTGGATTGAGATCATCAAATTTAACATGGGAAATTCCATGAGAATCACTATCACTATTAAAGATTTCAAACAGGTAGGGACTGCAGCAAGCTAACACGGCTCGGTGCGCCAACATCTCGTGTCCACATACCTTTATTTAAAACACAAATAAGAAATCCATATGCTGGTAAGAATTTTTTTTAAAGTACATTTGTATTACAATAGTATAAAGACCTATCCAAGTGAATGTCGTAGTTCAAATTAACAAATCAATTTTCAAATCTATAGTCTCCGATTTATGTCAGCTGAAAAAAAAAAGTTACCATCACTTCTCTCAAAGTATATCTGTTGTGGTTTTTTTGGATGGTTGTTTTTTTGTGTGTATGCATTTTTCAGAAAAATCAGATTCCAAACTCTAATGCCTCACAATCAATGAGGCACAAAGCATTACACAGTGTAAAAAATCCACCGCATTCAACCATCCTACTCGGACAGAAAAAAGGTACCTGCAGACGGACATCACAGAACTGACCACTTTTACGTAAGGCATTTAGTTTGGCAACAGATGACTCGATGAAGTTTTCATCTTCAAACATCAAATATCCATTAGGAATCATTTTGGTGTTGGTCTGGCTGAAAACAGAAACATATAAACTTTAGAGATACAACATTTTGCTTCAGTATATAAGTACTATTAACACGTTGTTTGCAAGTAAACATCCATAGGGAATTTAAAAAAATCCGTCTCAAAAAAAGGCCCAGAAGACCACTACGGCTGATGAGTACATGCTGACAACAATCCTTCAGATCGACTGGATTAATGATTTTCAGAGATTAAGGCCACAACTTTTAATTTATCCCCATCATTTCAACAGGCACCAACTCCACAACTACATGCTGAACCTGTGCTCGCTTTGTGGCGGCAAGTTGGAAACCACTGGATTACACAAGAAGCTTTATTCCCCTCTATAAAGATTTGGTTTGGTAGATTCATCTTTGCTCACTGCATGAAATCTGTTACACCGGTCAGCTTCATTTTTTGCACAGACCCAAAAGCCTGCTACATTGAAAAATAAGAACTAAGAATTTAAAGTAACTAGTAAAGTAAAACAGCTCCAGAAATACTTTTTTGTTTAATTTTGAGTAATGTCTCAAATATTTCAGAGCAGCTAGAAGTCACGGAAGAACATTAGCATCGATAAAACATACAGAATTAAATACATTTGAACAACAACCATGTATTTTATGTCATCATGAAGTTAAAATAACTTCACCTGAAGATATACAAACATAGCACCCCAGGCAAATTGGACTAAGACTGGAAAAAAAATTTAGGAAACTAACTTTTGAATTTGGAAGCTATTTTATAGCTCATCTAATTGATTTTTTTTTTTTTTTTTTTTTGCTAAACACTTTTAGGAAAAGTCTGCTTCCCAAACAGAAAGCTAATTAAGAATACTAAAATATGACCCTGAGGTGACCTAACGAATTTGAAGTAATAGTTTAAAAAAATAATCAAATTTGTAAGTTTGAGCTGCTAACATTTGAAAAGTATACCTTCCTCGACAATTTCAGAGAAAATAACATGTGGGATACTACTAATGTTACCAGCAACAATTCATATTTCCATCTGAAGTTTAAGAAAATTCTGAAGATCAGACTAAACAAGAAAACCATGAAAAGAGAAAAAGTGGACAGAAAAATTCAATAATAAAATCAGCAAGCCACACACAAAATACTTCTAGTGTTAATTTGTTTATTTTAAATTCACTTACTACTGAAAGCATTTGACCCTGAACTGGCAACAATATTCTCACTTACAAAGATTATTATCCATTTGTATACACTTTCATTTGTTGTGTTTTATTAAAAAAAGGACAGCAAAGTTTTAAAGCTGCAGAATTTCAGCAAGAGTATTAACTATTGTATACACAGCTAAGAATATCAACTTACCTAGTGGATATCTTACTGTAAATTTTTAACTGGGAGATCTTAAAATAATCCAATGGTATCACTGTGTTAAAACAGAGCACTCCAGTTTCAGTGTCTTCTGACAGGGAAGATGTTTGTTGAAACGCAAACGTGTCTTTGCAGCTGAAATATGGATTCCAAAACTATCAGGCTTGAAGATGATGTAATAAAGTCCTTAAGAGCTATAGACATGAATTTCTTCTGTGATAATCATGCATCATAATCTGCAATAAAGGGGAAGTTATCAAGTAAGGACAACAGATAGCACCATCATGTATTTCAGATGAAACTTTAACAGGGTCTTAAAGCAGAAGTTCCTGACCCAAACAAACAAGCTTTTCTTAGCAAAAAGAAAGCCTGAAAAACTCCCTATTAACACTAATTTTCATGCCTAACAAAAAGTCAACCACATCAGTTTTTATACCCACAGAGACAAGAAAGTGGCTGAATTAGTGCTTAGAGAAAAAGTTACAACAGCTGAGTCTCATTTGTAGACAATTCCTCACCAACTCTAACCTTCAGCACTTTGTATATCTAGATGTTTATTGCTTGCTCATACAAGTAGGTAATGCTTAAGTAACACAACAAAAATGACTAAATTTTAAAGAAGAACCACTCCAGATGCTTCCTACCTTTTGCTTTTCCTGTACTCTTCTACTTATACCCTTCTTCTACTGAATGCCTAAAATGGACTGAAGATGGATTCAGGACATGTTTGAAATGACTAGGCATGTCTTCAGTCTCTGCTACTTCCAAAAAAAATCAAAGTCAGAAATTGCTCTTTCAATAGCTTTCTTTGATAAAAAGTCTCTTTGCTATCCTGCAAACAGAATCTGTGATGTTCTGGTCAAGTTCTGCACTGGCTCTGCAGACTGGGGTAGCTTTGTTGGGATTCAGCATGTGGATGGGCTGTTTATGCTGGACTTTTACGGGGAGGGGAGAAGAGGAGGAGGAGCAGCAGCGGGGAGGGAAAAAGCAACAAACACCCACGCTGGAACTTTCCATGACCCTGATGCCACCTCAGGAAAACATCGATCACTTCATCCACTTGAGTTCCCCGCTGCAGTTCCAAAACTATATTTGTATCTACAGATTAAAGGCCACATTGGGAATCTGGTTTCCTAAAAATAGGTGCAGCTCATTTCTCCTTGTTAAAAATTAAGTCATCTATGTTGTAGGCAAGAGAGGCCCACAACCCTATTGCCTGGCCAGCGCTTACACACAGGATCATTTTGGCAGGAACTGTACCTCCCCTGGCCTCTAAGTAGATCAGCAGCTCAAGAGCAAGGCTGATTCTCAAGAGCGGCAGGGGGCATTATCCCACAACATACCAGCTCCACAGGAAAACTGCTTCAATCCGTAACAACTTCTGGAAACCCCCAAGACAGAATATTTCAGCCAGCAGACAACCGAGTAGAAAGAATTAATGTTAATTAAGTCTGGCTGCTAGAACAGACACAACCACATCCATTTAAAGAAGGAAATAACTGCTCCAGAGGAGCAGTGGCATCTGTCTGTAACATAGTACCCCCGAACGCAGGGAGAACTACAACTTTCTACAATGTATTTTAATGTCAGCACACTTTGCCAGGAAAAAACCTCGAAGATTAGATGTATGTTCCTTTTATAATCCTACAGGCAAGTTATGAAACCGAAACCAAGCTCTATTTACCAAATATTATTGCATTGGGAAGTCAACACTTGTCTTGTTGGTACATCTGGTATAACCATTTCAGTTTCTAAAGCAATCAAAATATTTCACTTCTCAGAAACAGAAGCAGTCTGAGGTCCACACTTTCCCCAAAGATTGGCCTCAGCTGAAATATTCTGTTGCTCAAAGATGCAGAGGTATTATTCCAACACAAATTGCACTGAATTAGCTTACACAGAAAGTTATAAGAATCTATTAGACGTTATGGTTCACCAAGACTATCCACGAACGTACAAGAGAATTATCACCAAGAGACCTCTGACTTTAACATTTCAGATGTTAAATCTTCCATTTCTGTCATAGGAATTATCCAGACATGATGGCCAGACTTACCTGGCCAAATGCAAACTATAGGAGGCACCTAAAAAGGAAACTCAAGGGGGTCAAGCTTGGAGTTGCAGGAGTTGCAATGGGTGGTCAGTTCAGCATCAGACCATTTTGGTGAAAAGGCTTGGACCAACCCAGTCACCAGCTGCTTGATTCTGAGCAGAAAGCGACACATCACATATCAGATTATACATTTTGCTCACAGTTGTTTTAAACCAGCTTTTTCTCAACTGCCAGATGTCTCAAAGAAGTTCTGTTGTTAACTGAGTAGAGGTCTGTAATTATCAAAGCAAATTAAACCTATAATTGCTACCACATTTCAAACAGGCTACTGGTCTGCTCTCGCATCACATTATGCATTCCCCCATCCAATATTCATTGGGATTGCTGTTAATTACCAGTACTGAGGCTTTGGGGAGATCTCAAGTTACACGTCAATTATTCAAACAATTTCAACTAAAGTCCAGAATCATCCTCACTCAGTTTACATCTCTGGGCATGTTTTGGCATGTTCTGCTGTAACGGAAGAACTTTACTTCAAGTGCAGTGTTTTAACTTTGCTTGATGTACTTGCTTACGACCTTCAAGACCTATAAAGGATATCCAAAGTAATTCTGGACTGAATGGAAGATTTGTCTTGTAAAGTCCTCCTTTGTGCATGAAGGCAAACTCACACATTTTTCATTTAATGAACTGTCCAATCTGAATATTTAGAAATTTCGATGTCTTAATTATTGCCACAAAGTTTCAATACTGTTGCGTTAGAACCATGGCTAATATTAGTAGTCAAAACGGCAGTAAATAGCACAAGCATATGCATTACTTTCTGCCTTCTTTTTGGTTTGGTACACTACTGCTAGAACAAAAGCCAATCAATCAGCCAAAATTCAACTAAAAGCCAGGAACGATGAATTTTCTGCATTAAAGATTATAAACAGGTACTGCAAACAAATTTCTTTCTTAACTTATTTTAAGCATCCAAATAGCTTTGTAATTACCTTCCCCCCTGCCCCTCTTGCTTCTACTCCCTTCTAGCTCACCACATCAAGAGCTGTCAGTGGCTTTTTTGGTAATCTTCCAGTATTTTGAATTTTTAAAACCAAGCATGATGTTCACAGAGGACTGTCAGCCAGGTAAAGTATGAAGTCTGATGCCTCTGAAATGATCACTTTTCAAGCTCCATCAAAATGCAATTATTCAAATATGTTAAAGCTACAGAATTAGCATTCCAGAATGGGAACAATACATTCCATTTGAGAGCAGGCCTATTTACTCCACTTATTTTTAAACCAAAGCAAAATACAAGAGTGATATATAAACTCTGGATTTCTGTTCTAGTTTTAACATCAAAAACTGATAACTAGTGTTGAGCCCAGAGGCACCACCTTTGATCAAGAGTGGATCATTCTACGTGTACTACTGCAGAGGACTGAGACAGGTCAGAAGCCATAAAGCATTCACATGGCATGTTTCAATGGCATGGCTGCACCCAAGTGGAGGAATGCCAGCACTCAAATGTCCATCCAGTTGCTCTAGTTAAACATAACTGTGTTCTAATAATTGTGTTTCCTAAACACTTACTGTTATACACAGACTGAGATTTTAGTT